AGGGAAAGAAAATAATTGCAGGGTAACTCAGGCAAGGACCCGAGGGTCAAAGAGCAAAAGAGCAAATGGATGCACACGTAGGGGTCAGCTCGGCCAGGCTTCTGTGGGCATCCAATGGGGACTGAGGGCCACAGGCAGCCACACTCTGGATTGGTGTTTCTTTGGTGGCTCATTCTATATCTCACCACCGTAAATGACTCAGCTTTCAATCAAACACTCTGAGTCCAGGCATATGGAAGGTATGGAAGGAGTGTATTTTTTAATTACACTTAGCATGTCCACCAGGCCCTCTAAGCTACCCAGAGGACTTCCCCGGTGTGGTGCAAGGAGCACCCGTTCAGGAAAAGACGGTGCATGAATAAAGGCGTTAGGAAAGGACCTCTTGAGCCCACGATAGGGACAGGAAGCACGGGGAGGCCCTGCACAACCCTGCACAGGTGTGCTGGTTGAAACAGGTGCTCTGAAAACATTTTTGACCACACCATATCCTTTTTCACACAACTATCAACCCCTTGAACCAGGAGTGTCCTGCTGTTCTCTGTCAGCCTGAATTTTATCAGGTTCAGTCAAGACGCTTTTACTCATAAAAAAAGGTGTTGCCTCTTCCCTACCCCACGCGTGAGACTGGAATGCTATTATAACTGCGGCTGAAGCGTGGAAAGAGCCTCAGCATTCTCGGGGTAGGGGGAACTAAGGTGGAGGGCCAGAGAGATCACTCAAAATGTGGGTCACGATCCCCTTTACAAATCCCTATCTACCTGCTGAGGAGTCACAATCCAGAAAGCATGGGGACAGGAACATATTTGCAAAATCTTTGCAATCTTTCAACTGTTGAAACAAAGACTATTCAAGGTCATAAGCCCTAAGTAAACTAAGGCCAAATTGATCTTATTATGGCTATTTCCCAGAAGGGTTTCTCAAACAAGCCGTCTCTAAAGAAGTGGTAGGTTCTAGAGTGTGAAGAATGCTCGCTAGCATCACTTCCTGCCTCTGGAGCAGTTTGACACCTCTCCCCAGGTGAACGTCCCCTTCCTCCCTTCTCTAACATCCCAGGAGGTTTCAGCCACCTGCTACCTAATACACCTCGGCCTGGAGCTGCCAGGAGGAGCGCTGGCCACTTCCGTCTTGACCTTCATGCCACGATGAGCAGTAAGGAATGTGATTCTTGCTTTCTACCACAGGGGGAATTTCCGTCAGAGCGAGGTTTACAGAGATGTCATCTTTTCCATGTGAAACCGCTAATGGTCCAAGAAAATAAAACCGTCCCCTCAGAGGAACACCAGATTGCTGGTCAAGGAGAGAGCTGATGGCCTCAGCGTTTATTGCATTTGCTCCACGAATAGGGCATAAGGGGGGCTCAAACCTCTTTGCCCCAAGAACCCCGCTTGCACCTGCCAGCTCACCCAAACCCTATCAGGTAGGACAGGAACCTCCAACATCGTACTCTTTCCAGAAAACATGTTTTGAGCGCTGCCCATAAGCTAGGCACTATATTAAGTGCTTTTCACACGATGATCTCGTTTACTACTCCACCCGGTAATACCCATTTTCTGGATGAGAAGCCTGAGGCCAGAGTACCTTTCTTCCTAAATGCTCACACCTTTGTTCCTTCTGAGGACCGGAACCTCTTCTTTCCCTGGCAAGCTCACTAGGGGAGCACCCCTCCCTATTGGGCTTCCTGACTGGGGCTCTTTCTCCACTACGATCTATGGGTCTCTGTTCCCTCACACATTCAAAAGGTCAGGAGAGAAGCAGATCAATAGATGAAATTACCTTGACTAAAAATGAAATGTCTAAAAGTGGGGAAAGCCTGTTTTCCCTTTCCAAAATCCAATCACTCATCCCCACTTGGAGCAACAGGACGTGAGGCTGGGTCTTGAGTCCCTCACACCGGCTGTGCTCAGTGGGTGAGGGGATGGATTCATGTGATGCGGCCCAGAGGGGTCATGGTACTTGGTCCCCAGCTTGTACGCTTTCCTAAGGGATGAAGTAAGAGGGAGGCGTGCACTCTCCCACCCCGGGGCACGGGTTACTTCGATTCAGAAGAAAGCAAATAGAGACAATTCACAACACACACTGGCACTGATCACGTGAGAAGTGGAAAGACCAATGGGGGGCGTGCCCACTCCTGCTGCAGGCGTGTCTCTGCCTTGACCACAATCTGTCCACGTCTCCTTGCCCCCTCTCCACCCGAGGGCACTGCTTACCTGGCCCCAGCTTGGAGATAGCATATAAAAGGTCGTAATTTATGACGGGAGTAGCGTCTTCCACTTGTTTCCAACCGACCGGCGGCGAGGCAGGAGGAGAGATCAGAAACTGCTTGTCTGGGTTTGGTGGAGCCAGGTGTGAACTTCCTATGTGTAAAGTCTGAGGAGAGAGATAAATGCAGGTGGGTGTTCCTCGGGTGAAGAACTGAAGCAGAATAGCTGCTTTGTGCAGCCTACGGAAGACAGGTATGAAGTTCAAACCCATGTGCAGATAGCTGAACAGGTGCAGCCTAAGGATGAATCGCAATACGGTTTCTAAGGGCGGGGAAGGGAACTTGGATTATGGTGCAAACATGATTAGAGGCCCCTCGCAGGACAGGGACTCACAGGTACCGGGACTGCAAGTAATTATGCTTGAACTAGACTGATAGAAAATATACAGAGATCATTTTAGTAAACATGGGAAAAGTAAAAACACTGTCCCTGAGGTCAAGAGGGATCTCAGCATCAATTGCTTCCAGCTCCTCATATTACGGTGGCATCACATCATATCACAGAAGCTCCAAAGGCTAAGCGACATCTCTAAGATGACCCAGGACCCCTGCCCACCACGCTCTCAGGCTTCCCTCCCTCTGGGGCTCTGAATCAGACGCCAAAAGTGAGGAAGGAAAAATACATCTACCTTCCAGGATACATATTTAAAACAATAATGATAAGGAACAATGACCAAGATCCTAGTTTGGGCTTAAAAATTATACCAGTGATTAGAGGGCTGTTTGGAGAGATCTTACATCAAAATGTTACCAGTTTGGATTTTCTTTGTTCTTTAGTATCCTCCCCCCACCCCGAGAAAAATCACAATGAACATGCATTTACTTTAATAAACCAGAAAAAGTCGTGGAGAAGACCAAGTAATTACTTAATATGGAACCCCACCAAACATAGGAGGGAATTTGCTCCTAAGGATCCAAGGTTGAAGCCTGCGCCTCGCACTTACCACCAGGGGGCAGGGCATCCCGGCTCTCATTTACCCTGGAAGTGCAAGTTCACCTTCGCGCAAGGTCAGGAAGCCCCTCTAACAGGATCTGCTCCCGTACTGGCAAGGGGAACTCAGGGCCCCAATGGGGGTCTCTTTCACCAGGGAGCAGCGTCCGATAGAGCCCCTGCCCCTCCCCCTGCCAAGCTGTTAGACTCCGGTAACATCATCAAATGGAATTTGTGAGCTACCTAGAAGGCAGTTGCTGGGGGAGGCAGGAAGGGTGATGCAGGAGAAACAGCAAACCCGCCGCACAGCTCCCGGGAATGCCCTGGGGCCGGGACCCCCGCTTACCAGAAGTATTTCTTAGCATTTGCTACCTGCCTGGTGAACCCATTTTTTTCCTTGCAGGCCGGGTCTGGCAGCCCTGTGCTGATGTGCAGGACCGGCTTGCAGATACCAGCTCTCCAGGAGTGAGCGGGCTGCGGGGACCCAGCGCAGAGCCGAACCGGTCTGGTCCGGGGTGGGGGGGTGGTGGTGGTGGTGCTGGTGGTGGTGGTGTCAAGGGTAGCCACGCCCACGACCCTGCGGTCCTCCACCTTCCTGAGTCAGGAAAGGCTCTCTTTCTCCCCTCATCACTCAACCCAAGAAGGTCATCTCTGAGGGCACTTTCAAATACACCCTGATGTCTTCTTAAAATAGGTGACATGAAAAATTTCAAGTATGAATTTTGCCCTTCTCAAGATGATTTCTTGGAGTTTTAAATCAACCTATACGTAATGGATGTCTAAGCGTCTAAGCTACTTTTAAGGGTGGGAGGGAGGAGGGATAAGGGTGGGTATCAATGAACTCGATTCACCTGAGCAAAATATAATTTCATTTCCTTTCCAAGAAATTCCGTCTTATGTAGCTGGAGTCTGGCATCTGCTGCAGATAATGGGTTGCTGAAGTTTATTCTGACTCGTTTGAAGCTCTTAAAATACTGAAAGGTGATATCTTTGTCATATGTCCTAAAGAGGGATTCAAATTTGGCCTGAAAAATAAAAATAAAAGGAGTTGAAATTTACCTGCATATGACCTTTGAGTGGATGACTTCATTACATTTCTATAGAGGAATCAAATTATTAATCATGTCAAGAACTTCCAACTTTTTTCTTAGAGAAGACAGAGAACCCACCTTTCTCCTCTGGGGAGATTCTGCCCTTTTAATTTCATATACGTGATTTTATACAAAAGTAAGAACGTACGATTTACTAAATTCGTTTAATCAGCTAAATTACCAATACGTCAACACTTCTTACAGTCACAGAAATGTTCTTTTTAAAAGTAGAAGGAACATTTTCATTTGGTCATTTGTCACCCTTCTGGCCTGCCAGACCCTATGGTCCTGTGACCTCCCCCAATCTAGTGAGCTCCAATCCCACCACTCAGCTCAGGGCATTGCTTTGTCCATCAGATATTGCTTTTGGACTTAAAAGCACTAGAGCTAATTTCAAAAAAAAAAAATTATTATTGAATTGGTACCCAATGAAGTTAATGAAAAGGCTTTGCATTTCTTAATGGAAAGGAGGAAGTTTTTAAAAATTTCCTATTATTATTTTCCCATTCAATCTGTTACGTTTTAACTCTCTAAAATAGTAGGTTTCAAAAATTAACATTCTGCCAATGAACCCATTTCTGCACGCCGGCTTTAATATAGGTACAGATCTAGCTGTAGTGTTAAAAGATCTAGTGAACACTATGAAACAGCATGAGCTCTTAGAATTGAAATGCCCAAGTTCAAGGACTAAAAGCCTAGATTCAGCAGAGCGTTCATCAGCTCCTGGGAGAAGCTCTAGGGAGCGACCCAGGGCCGGGTCCTGGGTGCGGGTGCCCTTGGGGGGACCTGGGAGGTCACTGCAACCTTTCTGACCAGAGAGAGAGGGAGGTGATGGACGGTCTTGAAACTTCCAAGACTGCAGGGACTTTTAGTCACCGGGCTTTCTGAATCTTTTTTCAGACTAAACTGCGAGGATGGTGAGAGGCAGATGGGGATGGGATGGCAGATGGTGAGAGCCCAGATGGGGCAGCATGCCCTCCACCCAGGTGACTGGTGAGAAGGGGAGGCCCTGGAGCCCACAAGTACCCTGGAGACCTATGCAGAGCACGGTGTTTCTGCAGAGGGGAGAGAGGATTCCCAACAAGAAGGGAGAACATCTTCGAGGATATTCACGGCTAGAAAGCGGGGGAGGGGATGGGCCTTCCCGTCGGTCAGTGCCTGGTCCACAGGGCAGGGCTGTGGGCAGGTCCTGCATTCCCTGCTGGCTGGTGTCTCCACCGGGCAGGTGGCTCAGGGGGAGTGGGAACAGCTCACAACCGTTCTCTCTTCGAATTCCCCAGCTTCTCTTTAGTTGATGGAAATGTCTGTGACTTTCCCACGAGGGGTGTTGCAGAGGCAAAGAATGAGAAAGAATGCACAGCAGATGTTTAAGCTGCGATTTCATCTGGCTGCACATGGCTGGTTCTCCACCCCTCCCGAGCACGGGCAAGTCTGGGGTGTAAGGGTGTCTGCGCAGATCTGGAATTTCACACGACCTCATCCATAGGCACTGTGACCAACTGCTTAGTTTTAAAGTTATCATTCATAATTTAAGAGAGATGACTTTGCTGAATATTTTTAGAATACAAGTCAGGGCTTAGGACCAGAACCCAAGAGAACCCACACTATCTTGTTAATTTCATATTGCTATTATGCTATTAGTATTCTCTTATAAAATAATCTTATTTGTTCTAATAACCAATACCTAGTAATTATAGCTATTGGATGGCATCTCTACTTAATTAAGTAAATCAGTGATTTTACTCATATAAGGCTAACATTAAATACAAAGACTTTGTAGTACGTTTACACACAGAACGTGCTCTAATATCTAGTTCAAAAACTACAGTCCCGGCTTGCAAGCATTGTACACAGTTATGGAGTTAAATTTGATTAAAAAAAAAAAAAAAAAGAAACCTTCTGATGTCTCAGCAGCGCTTTGGGTATAAAGGTATAACGTGATCACCGCCCCCCAAACGGAACATACAGAATTCATTCATATATAATATTGTTAGAGATCAATTAGATAGCTTCGTAGCTACTGATGAAAATCTTACATTTTAATCAAATGAAGAAGAAAAGCATAGTAATTAAAATTACTAATTATATTAATAACCATCAATGAGAGCTGCTTCCCAGGAGGTATACTCATCCCACACTTAAGTTATGTATCCAGTTTTATTATTTATTCGCTATGGCTGCATTTTCTCCAGCTAGAGAAATCTGAAAACTTGAAGACAGGCCCTTGTAATTACGGCAAACATTCAAATATCTTTCCAATATTGATTTCCTGAGATAAAAATCAAAGTATCCTGAACTCTAAATGTCAAAGTGAAACATTCTGTTCACTGTCAGAAAAGTCCTCCCTCCAAAAGTTTACTTACTGATACGACCCACACAGAATGAAAAAACACCACGCCAAACCCTCCCTTACTAACTGGTCAAGGGACACAGATGCTTTTAAATATTGAGAGCTTTAAAAATTCCTTCACAGTTAATTCCTCAGGCAACACCTTTTGATTTTTAAGGCTCAAAGCATTCTGGATGTATTTCAAACCCCCCCCAAACCCACAAGAGAGCCACATACCCCACCAAGTATTTCAGCTAATAGTCATAATAGTTTGAAAACTCTCAAAAATCACATTATATCAGAAGCCTTACCCTGGTTTCACTTTCGCTGAAGATCTCACTGTTTGCCACACAGGCAATCAGGGAGCTAAAACTGTAGTTAAAGTTTCTAAAGTGCATCTTGCTTTCTTACAGAGAAAGCTACAATTCCCGCAGTCAAGCCCCAAGTAAGCTTCCTTTACCAGAGGCTGTAGGTTCTTTCTCGAGCCCTCACTTATAAAGCACCGAGGTCCGGCCCCCACCGGGAAAAAAAAGCACCGCTTCCAGAGCATCCTGTTTGGACACCAAATTCCTGAGTCAAGTCCTACTTGCTTGCAGGCAGGCAGAGACAGAGTGTAAGTTTCTACTGGAAAGAGGTGACGTCAACACCTTAGTCATTTTCCCTATGCTAATTAACTTTGCTTGGGGAGGATGGAAAAAACTGCCGAGGTTTGCTTTGCAGCTGCTTTATCTACCCCTCTTGCAGCATAGTTTCCACTGGTAGTAATTCCATTCAGCCACTCAGCCACCAGGCTCCTCGGCTGAATGGGACGACCCTTCTTAAGATGGAAAATGTTACAGAGTAACAGGAGGAAGTTCTACAGCAGTAAACAGTAATTAGCCTCCAGGGAACTCTCAAGGCTTGGAGAAACCTGGAAACTGAAGTCTTGGCAAGGTGTTTGATCCCTGTAATTTCCTGAACACTTAAATCAAAGTTTCATATGCTGGGGTATTAGAGAAAACATTTTGAAATCAGTCTTGGTCAATGAACTCTGCTTTTAAAGAAAAAGTGGACTTCATTTTGAAATACAGCCTTTTTTTTTTTTTTTTCTGATTAAACTTTATTGGAGCAATGTCCTAATTCCCACTTGTATTTCACAGTGAGAATGTGAGAAGAGATCCTAGGATTTTCATTGGAAAACTTTATTATTGTAATTTGAGAACGAGGAATATGCAGCACGTTGATCATTTTCTAACAGCTGCTAAATTCGGGAAAAGATACAAAAATATTTTAGAGGATAGAGCCTCTGAAGCTGAGAAAAGAAACATTCAGAGCTTGTCTGCTTAGAGACTCATAGACTGAAGGTTTTTGTTTTTGTTTTAATTAGGAAAGGAAGAAGAAATAGAAAGAATGTACACTACAATTGAAAAGTTAGTTCCGTTGGCCTTTTTTCAGGTAAGATGTCTGGTCTTGGAGAAGCACACTGGGTGTCAGGATGCCAGTTCTTTGAAAAGGCTGCAACTCTTTTTTTGCAACTTTTTACTTGATTACTTTTTAAATTGAAGTCTAGTTGATTTACAGTGTTGTGTTAGTTTCAGGTGTACAGCAAAGTGATTCAGTTATACATATACATGTATCTATTCCTTTTCGGATTCTTTTCCCTTATTGGTTATTACAAGATATTGAGTGTAGTTCCCTGTGCAAAACAGTAGGTCCTTGTTGGTTCTCTCTCTTTATATAGTCGTACGTATTTGTTAATCCCATTAAAAGGCTGCAAGTCTTTGAACTTCCAAGTACTTTGCTAGTTTAGGTCCCTAGGGCAGTGTGAGTCCTAGGTCCTTCCTACTCATTATCACCTAAATGCAGTCTCATTATTTATAAAAACATTCTCTAGTCTAGAGGCGGACACCTCTTAAGCTTCCAAAAGTTAAGTGGAATCCTGCTATTCACATTTAAAAATTAACTACAGGGCTTCCCTGGTGGAGCGGTGGTTGGGAGTCCGCCTGCTGATGCGGGGGGCGCGCGTTCGTGCCCCGGTCCGGGAGGATCCCGCGTGCCGCGGGGCGGGTGGGCCCGCGGGCCGTGGCCGCTGGGCCTGCGCGTCCGGGGCCTGTGCTCCGCGGTGGGAGAGGCCGCGGCAGTGAGAGAGAGGCCCGTGTACCGCACAAAAAAAAATAATAATAAAATAAAAATAAAAATTAACTACAAAGAATCATTAAAGTCAGCCAATAATAAAAAGAGTATATGCAATGGGAAAGAACAAACCAGAGCATTTATCCCTCCATAAAAGGAAATGTGAAGTCTTCTTGGATGAGTGAGCATTGCTTAATCTCCTTGGATGGTGCCCTGCTGCCAGCTGTAGGGTTATGCAAGAGACCAGTTATGGTGTTTGCTTTGCCAAATTACCCGTAACTGCCAACCCAAGAGATCTAAGTGCATATGTTCTAGAAGAGTTTCGAACGCTGTGAGATAGTATGGCATGCATCAAATGCCAAGAGGAAATGGTCCATTGGGTGGTGCTTGGTTCCGGGAACTGTGCCCTGGGATTGGCTGCATTTCGGTGCACAGCCTGCAGCGTACCCTGGAGGCACATGCAGGCTTTGGTGATAGCCTGGGGGGTGGCAGT